AAAAAAAAAAAAAAAAAAAAAAAATCATCTAAGATTATCACAAAGCATAAAAGTGTTGTAAAGCTGCAAATGTTTATTAATCATTTCCCCTTTTTTTGTCTTTGCTCACCTGTTGAATGTCCACAACTCATTTTTGCATTCAATAGTCTTGTATCTGACTGATTGATGAATAATGAATATCAAGGCCACATGATGGTATGTTCACGGGTGTTCATCCGTAGATGCATTTTTCAATTGTCGAATAACGACCTCGTTGAATACAATCTGAAAAAAAAAAAGAAAACAAAGGTTGAAATGGAAAAGAACGAGAAATGATCGACCTGTAAACGTGTGAAAAATGATCAACTTTTAAATATCCAACAAGAAGAATTAGGAAAATAGAGTCAGTATTGAATTTAAATTAAAACTATTAGAAAAATGTAAAAGAAAAAAAAATGAAAGAAACCTGTTAGCTGTAGGAAACGAGCCATGCAAAAAACATGCAGTTCTTGAAAGGACAACCAACAAGGAGAAGAGCAAAAAATATATGTTGTTTAACATATGGGAAAAATTTGTAAATATTCATCTTATTCTACTCTTTCTTTATGGAAACAAACACTTAAAAGAGATTATGGAGATAATTTCTTCTTGAGTAAAACAAATATAACAAATGTAGGTGTAATTCTATCAGTACACCCTAATCTTGGAACCCTAGATAGAAAAAAAAAAAAATCGAATTATGTCTTTCTAACAAATGAGCGTCTTTTATTACCATGATTGTGTCTTTATGAATCTAATTAATTTTGATATTTTTAAACTCAACTTTTGCCACATTTCATCTCATTTTCTAAGTTTGTCTACTACACTGCTAGACTACCATTCAATTCAATTTATGAAAATTAGAACTTAACTAAAATTAGTAGACAACCAGTTTACTTACCGTAATTACCACTTTGTTGTGTCGAATTTGACTGAAGATCAATCAACTCATCTCAATTAAAGAATTATTCTCAGCATTAGATTGGATCATTTGGGTTGACCAAAGATGGTTTAACCCGAATTTCTAAAAGAATCGATCGTACTCGACAAAATTAACATGAATACCATTTGAATCATCTAACAATTAAAAGTCTTTATATTTATTATGATTTTATTCTTCAATGTATTTTAAAATATTTTCTGTAAAAAGGTACATATTTAAACATATCAATGTATTTTAACATATTTAAACATATAGGACATGTATCGATCACTTCATGAATTACATTAGCCACTTAATTATATTATTTTATATTATCTAAAAATAAACATAATATTTATATGTTTCTTCATACATTTATTATTAACTAATATATTAACTATTAGTATAAATTATGGCTAGATCAATCAAATTGAACAATTAATTCTACAACTTCGTCGGTTCCTACATACATTTATTACTAAATAATATATTAAGTAATAAATAAATTATGGCCACTTCAATCAGATTGAACTATTAGCTGCAACTGCAATATGTGGCTTTGTCTGTTCAACTGTTCGATTTTGTTTGATCACAACACAAATCAATAATCAAACTAACCTTAGATAGAATTTATGTAGGTTGGACAAAAAAATATTCCCAATATCAACATATTAGATACTCTACTCTACTATTCAACAACCCCATTAATGCGGGAAAAATGAAGGTATCTGGTCATCATCTAATATCTATATTTTACAAACTAATCTTTTTTCCAAGGTCATTTATTTCAAGGTTCCATTACTTAAGGCATCACCACAAATCACCCCTATTCCCAAGCATGACCAAACACCTTCAACCAAATTCCTCTTCATTATAACTCAATTATTTTCTAATTCAACAACAAAAGGAGAAATCGATTGCTCGTCAATACGTAAAAAAAATTATCAACCAAAATAAGCACATAAAAAGCAATGGCTGAGGACCCACAAGATGTTGCCGATCGCGAGCGCATTTTCAAACATTGTGATGCAAACGGTGATGGGAAGGTGTCGGCCAGTGAGCTTGGAGAGGCCCTAAAGGCCTTAGGGTCTGTGAATGATGAGGAGGTCAAGCGGATGATGGCCGAGCTCGACACTGATGGAGATGGCTTCGTCTCATACGAGGAATTCACTGAGTTCGCACGGGCCAATAGAGGCTTAGTCAAGGATGTTGCAAAGATATTCTAGTCTCTTCTCTTGTTTTTCTTTCTATAAATTTACTTCTTTCAAGTGGTACAATGGAATCCCAATTCATACATGATACCAGTCTTGATAGTTTGTCTATGTAGTTTGTGAGTTTTTTTTTTTTTTTAATCTACTTAATTTATGCATGGTCTCATATGGTTTGTAACAGTTTTTTGTATAACTATATTCGATTTCTAGATTCAATTTCTCTTTTCATGTAGATACATGCACAAGCTATATCATAATCGCATTTTATTTGATTTTCTCACCATATTATGTAAATGTTTAACGTGGGATATGTTGGGATCTATATAACAGTAACACGATATTACTTAAGACACAAGGTACTGGATAAAGTTTGAATAAGTGATAAACCAACTCATATCACACGTCTAAATGATGCCTTGATTGATCATGGTACCGCACAAACGAAAAAGTTGGCCCATGCGGTTCATGCAAGGACAAAAACCAACTCATCACATAATATGCCACCTTAATACTTCAGTGAATGCTTCAAATTTTTATTGTGTACTATTTGGTTCTTATCCCTTCTATCATTTACCTAACACTTCTCTCACTTAGTATATAAGTTAGCCTTCTTATAATCACATTATTATTTAATTTCATGAAAATAATAAGTACAAAGAATATAAAAAGAGATTGTTGTGATTTTCATTTTATGCAACAATTGAAATCACATTATTATTTAATTTCATGAAAATAATAACTACAAAGAATATAAAAAAGCTTGTTGTGATTTTCACTTTGTGCAACAATGAATATTGTCACATGAGAGTTCAAGAGCCCTAAGTTATAATTTGGGGCCTAGATATTGTCTCCAACATGATTAAGGCTTTCGAGTTGGGTAGTCGTTTGTTAGATAGGTCCCATTAGTGAGTCGGGCAAATGTTAACGAGTGGCCCTAAGGCTTAAGTATTCCATAATCAAGGCCTTCGGTCTGGTGGTCAAGCCTAGGGATGAGGTTGTTGAAAACCTTGAGGCCGAAATCACACAGAGATCAATGTCTTAGAGTGGGATGGCGGAAGATCAAGACAATCAAGTTTAGCTGATGAAATGATGGGACAAAGACCTCGATGGTAGAAGTTTAGTTGTTGAAATTCAATGGTTAACTTGAATTTGGTGGCAGGTCGAAAATGCGTATAAGGTAAGTCTTATGGAACTATCTTTAAGACCTCAGTTGCAGGCCAGAGGTATAATTTGGAGGAATTCTTTGTAATCTCGTTTAAGACCATGGCGGTAGGTCGAAAAAGGTTAACTGTGGACAATTTTACAAGTTACTTCCATATTGCAAAACCAAACATATACACAATAATTTCTATTAAACAAAAGAATTAACATCATATAAAAGGTGAGTACATTTCAATCAGATATTACAATCACAAAATTAAAAAATAAAATTACAATAACAAAATCATGGCGGAGGTGGAAGAGCAGTCTCTTTGTTAGCAGCATTGGCTTCAGTTCTTTGCTCGACCACGTGCTGGTCGATAGAAAGAGTAGCTTGAGAGAGAGTAGCCTCGAGCTGATGATCTAGTAGAGGACCAGCAAGCACAGAAGCTGGAAGTAGGAAATACTGGGCTACGTCGGCTC